TGAAAGTAAAATCTGTTGGGCTTTTTTTGGCATCAAAAAAATTTTTTTTTTTGCCCCAATGCCAGACAGGACCCCATTCCAAAAAAAAAAAAGAAAAAAGAAAGAAAGCTTAGACCAGCACCACCAATCAGCAACCTGGGTCCACTTTGACATATTGCACAATTTGATCCTGGTGCACTAAAAGATTTCCTTATATCTCAAACTGATGTCAAAGTATAACTTCACATGATCGTCGACATTCCTCATTTTAGGGAAGAAAGTGCTTTTTGTAAGAGATGTCATAAAATACAACTTTATTTTTGTAATGTTACGACTTTATTCTCGTAATGTTACGACTTTATTCTCGTACTTTCATGAATACTCTCCTAGCGACTTTATTCTCGTAATGTTACAACTTTGTCTCTAAATAAAAAAAAAAAAATAATACTCTGACATACTCTATTTGGATCAATTTAGAGGTAAAATAAAAACTATCCATAAACATCAGTGATTAGAGAACTTTTTCTTTGCTATGTCTACCAAAGCACCTTGGTATGGCTCCTGATACAGATATCTGATGTTAAACCAGACATGTTGGAAAACATATTTTCTAAAAAAAATTTATTCTTTTTTTTTTTGCTTTTCTGGGCCCTGGACAGGTTTTCACTTCCCTTGGGGTGCTCTCTAACTAAGACAATCATAACTTTGGGATATGTGGCAGGTTCACACTTTAGTTAGATGACTAATCTGTGAAAACACTGTGTAAGGAAACTGTTATGCATAACTACTTTTACTTTGTTTGTATTTGCTTTCCCTTGCAGTGTTTACTAACTCTGAGAGGACCTGTGATAAAGAGTTCATCATCCGCAGAGCTGCCACCAACAGAGTCCTCAATGTGCTGCGTCACTGGGTTTCCAAACACTCACAGGTCTGTTTCCACCCACTGCTATGTTCAGGTCTGATTGTTCCTGCTTATGTTCATGCATTTTTGTGGCCTAATTAAAGCAGGTGATTGATGGGTTCTCTTGCTGCTCCATTGCACTCTGCTAAAAAGATGTAAACAGCTTGCTTGCACACAGACACTCACAAAATATTTCTGCTGTTTCAGCCGGACAGCCAGCTCTCCCATCCAACTCCTATTTCTAATGGCGAATATTTAATGGATTGAACGCCAACCAATTGGATGACTTTTAACGGAGGTCCTTCCAGGCTAACTACATTGATCTGTTGTTTTGTATTTTTCTTCAGTAATACAAAATACTGCAATGACAAGCTAGCTTTAGTCGGCTTATTAACACCAGCAAACTCATACCGTACTTACACATGCTTTCACGTTAATTTGCCCAGAGGGGCTAAAGATGAAGAAGAGATGGTTAAAGCTGAATAAAAAAAAAATAAAAAAAACGTTTTGTTTGAACGTGAATAGGAAGAAGCTTGTACAGTATGATGTACACATTTGTATTGAGGGGATTTGCTATAATTGGAAACATGCTGATACGTCTGTACCTGCTCATCTGGAAAACTAGTCAATGGAAAAAGTGGAATAAACTTACATCCATTGTGCTTAGTTGTTTTTAATATGAGCTAATTCAGTGTAGTTTTCTTTATGTCTTCGTGCTTAGGACTTTGAGATGAATGGGGAGCTGAAGATGTCAGTGATTTATCTCCTCGAGGAAGTGCTAAGAGATCCAGACCTCCTGCCTCAGGAGAGAAAAGCTACTGCCAACATTCTAAGGTGCGACACAACACATAGCACCAGAGTATGTTGAGAAGAAAAACAAAATAAATCGGTTTCTGTCATTAAATTTCAATTACTGTTTTAAATATACATTTTGAGAGATTTCTTTATTTTGTTCCCTTTTTTTTTCTTAGTGCCCTTTCTCAAGATGAGCAGGAAGATGCCCAGTTGAGGATAGAGGATATTTTACAGATGGTAAGATAACTAGAGTTTTTAAAGACAGTTTTTTTGTGAAAAAAACACAAATCAAAAAATGTAAACTATAATGTACGCTAAAAGAAAACAATTTAAAGTTATAAAAAGATGCTGCTAAATACTGTATAAAGATAATTCTAAAATGATTGCACATGTAAGCCCTGCCCTTATGCAAGCAAGGCATGAAATAAGCCGCTGTTAAAAGAATGCTGCAAGAAATGCTATTTAAAGTTTACCAAGTTCTTTAGGTAGAAACATATTAAAACATATTAATGACAGACTGTTTAAACATATTGAACATTCTGTGTATATTCAGGAAGTTTGTTTTTGCGTTTGGGAACCAAACTTGAGAAAAACAAAAACACACTCGTTGGTTGTTGCTCAGTTATTGAACCAAAACTACATAACAGATTACAAACTGGTCTTTGAATATTCATGTAGTGAATCCAATGACCAAAAAATACACAATCCATGCAAGGACCAGTTAGTTATCCATTTTTTGGTTTTGGATCAAAAAACAAAACAACAAGAACACCAGTGTGTTTTTCTTTTGTTTTATATTTTTGGTTTCAAATGCAAAGAACAGACTGCGTTAATATACACAGACTGCTGTGAGGATAATTTTTCTTTAGCAGGATAGCATGTCAGAGTTAATTAGAAAGTGAATTGCATTAGATGTAGAGAAATCCTGAAAAGAAAGTGCTAAAGGATCTGGCCCAGTCAAAGTAAAGGCCAAAATCTAGCTGAGAAATGGTTTGAGGACATGAACGTTTATCTTCAGGAATGGTCTCTAAAATATCTAATTGAGCTTTGGCTAATCTGAAGATTCAGTTTTTAGATGAGCAAAGCTGTAAGAGACATACCCCCAACAACTACCAGCTGTATTTGCAGTTGTTCCATAAAGTTGAACATAAAGTAGCTTAGTAGAAATTGCCACCACATTTTTGAGAGTTGTATACTTTAAGAACATTAAAATGTTTTACCACATTTAACAAATATTTACCACTTATTATGGCCTGTTACATAAAACTGCATGGACAGAATAATTAGATGTTTATTGTTGTAACTTGCAACATTTTGTATAAAGATTTAGGCGTAAAAAAATGTTTTCAAGGCACTACACACTATCATAAAAATACCCCATTTTAACCTACAAACTGGCTACACCAACATCACCAGAAGTAATTCTGAAAAGGCTGAAAAACATAAATTATATTAGCTGCTGTTTTTTAACCTTTGGGAGGTTCTAGCCTGTCATATCTAACCAGTGCAATGGTAGACGGTAGCTTTATTGTGGCTGTATGAGGCTGTAGCTGGAGTCCACTAGAAGAAGGCTAAAAAGAACCTTTGCTGATCAGACGACAATCATCATGTCTCCCTCTTAAATATCTATAAGGTGCTATTTGTGCTTGTTTATCAGTCTTTTCTCCACATGTGTGTTAAGGCGGACTGCCCAAAGGCTGAGTGTTTTGAATCCCTCTCTGCAATGGAGCTGGCTGAGCAAATCACCCTGCTGGATCACATCGTCTTTAGGAGCATTCCCTATGAGTCAGTCCTTTCAATATACTCTCTTTCCTTCTCTTTTTTAGAAAACACTGAAAAATTATTAACATGCTTAAGATTATCTGTGTACTTTGGTATTGAGATTAGTAATTTTTTTATGATCAAATGTTTTCTAGAGCTGTACTTTCAGATTCACCTTTAAAATTTGCTTTCAATCAGCCAACCTGTTTATTTAACTTATTAATAGAGAAAGTTAACTTTGCTTCATAGCAAAGGTTTTTTTTTGTTATACAGTACTTCCGCTGCTTTTTCTGTTTTTACTTCTTTTATATCTTGCATCTGACAATCAGATCTTTTTTTTAAAGAATTCCATGTAAGAAGTGCTAAGTTCTTTGGAAAACATGGTGTTTGCAATAAGTGGACAAGTTGCAGGTGATCTACAAAATTGCATGTGCAACTGATAAGACGTGCAGAGTATTTTGGTACTGCCACATATATATAAATGAGGATATTGCACATACTACTGGTAGTTTATAAGTGGCTGTAAACGAAAGACAGGTTCCAAGCCATGAAAGCGTAAAGATTATAATGATAATAGCTATTTTAAATGGCTATTAGATCTTGAAAAGTTATAAAAGTTATATTGAATCTTGAAAAGTTTTCTTTATCTGTTAATAGTACTAGTGAAGAATTACTTTATTTAAGCTAAAATCCTATTTTATTCTATTTTTTATCAGGGTTTTTTTTTCACAGGGATATGGATCTTTTAAGTATAAACATTTTATTGCGATGCTATAAATTGCCATGTGTTATATGTAGAAAAACAAAAGGGGTCATAGAGTTTAGTGACTTAATGTTGCTCTTTAAATAATTTAAAAGCAGCCAGACCCCAGAGGAAAGCATCTGCAAAACCCCCAGGTAGTTGTGCTATACAATAAAGAGCTGATCTGATCTTAGCAGTTTGTCTTTGTCTCCCCTGTTTTAGAGAGTTCCTGGGTCAGGGCTGGATGAAGGTTGATAAGAATGAAAGGACTCCCTACATTATGAAAACAAGTCAACACTTTAATGATGTAACTTATGTTTCTGTTCTAATATATATCTCATTTATCACTAGGGCCCCCAAACTCATTTAAAAACGTCTTATTTCCTTTCCAGATGAGTAACCTGGTGGCATCTCAGATTATGAGCCACACTGATGTTGGCTCGAGAGCCAATTCTATTGAAAAGTGGATTGCTGTGGCAGACATCTGCCGCTGTCTGAACAACTACAACGGGGTGCTGGAGATCACATCTGCACTCAATCGCAGCGCCATCTACCGTCTGAAGAAGACTTGGGCTAAAGTCAGCAAACAGGTACAAGCAACATGTAAAAAATAATTTTACATTTTCCACAATTTTTTTGTGACATCACAGTGAAAAGATCCTAATGCTTTTAGGATCTGTTTCAATGTGAATCCTATTTATTTTAACACAATCTACAGATAACCAGTCATCTACTAAGGAGACTGTTTACAATTAATATGATTGTTACCACTGCAATGAAAATAAGTGGGTCAGAACTTAATGTAGCATGCATGTCTGTCTTTTTTGTTTTGTTTGAAGTAATTCTTTTTAAATAAATGTGTTTGTGGTATTGTATAGACTAAAGCTCTGATGGATAAACTGCAGAAGACTGTGTCGTCTGAGGGAAGATTTAAAAACCTGAGGGAGACACTGAAAAAGTAAGACCAAAAAATATCTGAACTTGTGTATATTTTAAGTTTGGTGGTTTTAAGGTTTAGTTTAAAGGTGGGTTCTTAAGTATTCATTAGTCACACAACAAACCCCTTCAGTAATTTTTGAAAACAAAGTTGGGTATAAATTTATGATGGATTTCTTCCAGTTGATAAATAATTATAGTGAACAGAAATAAACTCTTTGTTGATCTAAAGAATGTGTTTCACAAACTGAATTTAACTGGATTATATTTTTAATAATGGTCTAATTTATTGAACATGGTTGTAAAAGGGTTGGAATGGGTCACATACCTCGCTTTATGACAGGAATATGTTATATTAATATACAAATTATCTACAAGGTCAGCCTTTTTCAAAGCTTAGCCTATTTTAGCCCTTTAAAAACCTTTTCCGATATTTATTTATTTATGATATATGTTGAAGCTCTTCAACTTATTTTCAAATACACAACCAGATGGTTAAAAGCTCTACTTAGCAGGTTCTGAGAAGAATACACATAATCTAACATCAACCATGAGGGATGGCCTTCCTAAGAAATCAACCTTAAGCTTTGGAAAAGTCAAATAAATTCAGATTTCGATCCATTTAATCCATCCATTTTCTATGCAAGCTTGTCCATCTAGTTCACAAGTTAATTTTAAGTTCTTCTACATTTTGAAGTTATTGAAAGTCCAGAATTGTTAAAAAAATTCATGCAGATTATATGTGTACATACTTCTGACTTCAACTGATTTGTTTTCAAATGCTTGTCATCCAGCTGCAACCCTCCATGTGTGCCATACCTAGGAATGTACCTGACAGACTTGGCCTTTATCGAGGAAGGAACTCCCAATTTTACTGAGGAGGGTCTTGTTAATTTCTCCAAAATGAGGATGGTAGGCATGAAAGTCTCATAAATCTGAGCAAAAATAAATAAATAAATAAATAAATAAATAAATAAATAAA